ATGTGATGAATATATAGACCTGAACAGGGTAAAATATGTGATGAATATAGACATGAACATAGTAAAACAAGTGATGAATATAGACATGAACATGTGATGAGTATATAGACATGAACATAGTAAACCATGTGATGAGTATAGACATGAACATAGTAAAACATGTGATGAGTATATAGACATGAACATAGTAAAACATGCGATGAGTGTAGGTAGACATGAACATAGTAAAACATGTGATGAGTATAGACATGAACATAGTAAAACATGTGATGAGTATATAGACATGAACATAGTAAAACATGTGATGAGTATAGACATGAAAGTACATGTGTATGTGAAATAAAAGTCGATTCATAGACTAAATGAAAGATGACTCACCACAATAAAATCCTATGATAAATCTTCCTATTACTAGCATTTCGTAAGAAGAAGCTTGTTTACTGAACCACATTAACAACCCAGCCAGTATTGATAAGACAGTACTAAACAGCATTCCATGACTCCTGACAATTTGGCAAACATGATATGTAAACATCTTTGTACAGATACATGAACACTTTGTAAACACATGTAAATGCAAACAACTGTTCAATATGAACACCTGTATAATATTGACATCTGTATAATGTGGACATCTGTACAAATGAACAACTGTACATTATGAAGACCTGTACAATATGAACACCAGTATAATATGAACATCTGTATAATATGAACATCTGTATGTGGACATCTGTACAAATGTCCAACTGTACAATATGAACACCTGTACAATATGAACACTTGTATAATATGGACATCTGTATAATATGGACATCTGTGCAAATGAACACCTGTATAATATAAACACCTGTATAATATGAACACCTATATAATATGGACACCTGTACAATATGAACACCTGTACAATATGAACACCCGTACAATATGAACACCCGTACAATATGAACACCCGTACAATATGAACACCCGTACATTATGAACACCCGTACAATATGAACACCTATACAAGTTGAACACCTATACAAGTTGAACACCTATACAAGTTGAACACCTATACAATATGAACACCTGTACAATATGAACACCTGTACAATATGAACACCTGTATAATATGGACATCTGTATAATATGGGCACATGTACAATATGGACACCTGTACAATATGAACACCTGTACAATATGAACACCTGTACAATATGAACACCTGTACAATATGAACACCTGTATAATATGGACACCTGTATAATATGGACATC